AACAGGGCAACCACCAGGCTGCTGAGCACTTTGCAGGTTGTTTGGCTAAACCAGGAGACATTGGACAAACCTGTGGTTGCAAATCCAAGGCCAGTAAGGCACTCTTGCTCCGAGAGGTAATCATGGGAGGTATGGGAGCAAAAGAACCTTGAAAGGTGAGACGTCTGGGACAGTTGAAGCTTTCTGCTTGGGCTCATTAGAGCGATCCGGATCTGGGAGATCATGGTTACAAGGCCTTCTAGCAAAACCCTGAGAGTGTTTTAATTTAAAAAATTCATGCCTCTGAGAACATCTCCTGTCTCGCTCTGCTGCCTCACCCACCTCCTCTGCGTGGACAGACAGGGAGGGGCCACCTGTCATTTCCCTGGTTGCCTGTCTACATTATTCATTCTCTGAGCGTCATCTCAGGGTTATTTGGTTACAGGAAGGAGTCGTGTTTTGCTGTCTGCACTCCACCAGCCCTCGACAGCCAAGAGCCAGGCTGTGTATACACACATTCCTGTGATGATTTTCACCTGCTCAAGGACCAAGTGGCCCGTGGTTCCGGAACAAACTGAACCAAACTCTGTCTATTGCTGACAAAGGCAGCCTTTGTGGCTCTTTTAATTCCTTTCTTTTCAGAATCGGTAGAGCCCATGTCCTTGTTGTAAGAACCTGTTGACCCCTATCAGCTCATATAAACTGGTTTTCCTGTCAGTCAGACTGAAGTGACAGGTCTTCCAACAAGTTCTCCAGCTGGCAGGGCAGGGAAGGTGAGGCTGCAGGTAGGAGAGGGGCGATGTGCCCGCATGTGCCCTGATGCAGCAGGGAGCAGGTGCAAAGTGGTGTTGGGAATTAATGTTAATTCAGCCTTCCTTCAGTGTGTTATTCCTGAGTGCCTGCCATGAGCTAGGCATGGTTTTAAGCAGGGAACAAAAGGGCAGAAGTCCTCGTCCTTGGTGAATTTATTTTCATAATGGAACTGAATAGGTGCAGCAGCCATCCCTGCATGCCTCCCCTCCCCGACACATGTGCTTTTATCTGAAAGAGGCAAAGAAGATCATATAGTCCCTGCGAAGGCCCTGGCCCGGCTCCCTGTCAGCTGCCCGGCCAGTTCTGGCCTCTGCAAGGACCGGGGCAACAAGAGGGGGTCTGTGTGCATCCCCTTCTTGGGCAGCCTGATCCTGTATTTTTAAATCATCCTGATTATAATTTAAGATATTAAATTCTAAATTCTCTTGTACTTCCTCTCTCTTCTTCAGGCTGGAGCCTGTGACGTTCATGTCTTCAGGGAGGGAGGCCTGGGGGACAGGCAAAAATCCCTACAAGTCTTTCCATCTTTGGCTTCTTCGAAGCCTAAACCCAGGTAACTGAGGGGACAGGCCAGGCAGCATCCAGAGTGGAGAGTCTATGCCCTGCTTCCCCAGCCAGCCTTTCTGCAGTAGGACTGGGCAGTGGGCCCACGGTCACCCAGAGCCCACCCTCTCACCTGGCAGGAAGGATGCGGAGGCACGCTGGCCACAGCCTCCTGGGCTCAGTGGCAGACAAAGGGGCAATTGGTAAGGACTAATGGCCGGATGTGCCTCTGTCCCACCTTACTCCTGCTTGACACTAAGACCATAACACTAGACTGAAGCTTGGGGCCAACCTGGTGTGTGTGCATGTGTGTGTGCGCTGACATGATCGTGTGGAGCCCACAAAGACAATGGGCTGACCCAAGACAGGGCAAGATTAGTCTCTGTTTGAAATTTTGGCGAGGGGGCCAGCCTCTCAGGTCAGTTCTTCCATGCTGGATGGGTCTCCAGGGACAGTAGGGGGTCAGGCTGGCTCTGATGCTGGGAAAAGTCTGCCACCAGGCATGAGCAATATGCAGGGAGACCGACGGGAGGTGTCACCAGGGCCCAGAATGGTGAGACTTAATAGTGATTTTCCAGGCCTCTGACTTAGCTTTGCTCCCGAGCCTCTGAAACTCCACCCACCCACCTCCATCTCCTAGGCCTGACACAAACACAACCCCTTCCTGGAACTGCTTATCCTCCACTTCTCTCCCTTAGTATCCTATCTGTCCTGAAAGCAGTGGTTCCCAATCCTGGCTGCTCACGGACCCACATCGGAACCTCAAATGTTCTCCCACCTACAGAGCCTCTGACTGAAGTGTCCTGAGCACCGGGGGTTCCAGGGGGAGGTAAATCGGAGAATCACTGTGCTGGTCCTCAGACCTTGATCTTTGTATGTGCAGGGCCACGCCCATGGGGATCCTGATAATTTTCTTATTAGGTAATTACACTCATCCATGCTGTTATCACCATCTGCTTTATAGTATTGGGTTGGCCAGTATAGGAGCTAAATTGTGTTACATTTTAAAGATAACCTGATCCCAGACTATTGCTCCCTGCTGTAAAAGACACGTTTCATTTTCACCAATAACTTTATTGATTTGGATATTTTGAGTATGTTAGATCTCTACTGTGTGAAATAATGTTGATTGTTGCCAATTAATATCTTGATTTGATTGCTATTAACTTCAACTGGCCTACCTGACCATGGAGCATTGTCCAGTGAGAAATTTCTAGCATGAAACTTCGCAAACCACATGTGGCATGTTCAATCAGTCATAACACCTTCTCCATACACTGAACAAATCTTTTTTTGTGTTTCAGTTGCATTTTTACCTTTCTTGAAATAATAACGCATAATATGCTGAAAATGTTGCTTACTCTCTTCCATCTTCAATATTAAAATGGCTACACAAAAATTCACCAATTTTGATAAGTTTTTTTAAATCACAATGATATGACAGCTGTCACAATACAACCTAACAAAATTGTTTCGAATGAAGTTAAAGACAACTGAGCGCTACTAGAGCACCATCTTACTGAAATAACCAAACAAACTTTTTGGCCAACCCATAGTGTTATAGTTCCCCCTATTTCTGACTTGTAACTGTAAAGTTCTTAAACGGCATGTCTGTATGATTTATCTTTGCAGCTCTTTTAGCATCTTACACATAGAAGAAATGAAATAAGTATTTGTTGACTGCATTAATACAAGTTTCAAATAAATATCTATAGTCAGGTATGCTTTTCCATTTGGAAGATGAAATTACGCTTTAAAATTGTACTGACCTGTTTTATATCTCATTTCTGCTATCGACTAACTACTTGACTTTGGAAAAATTATTTAAATTCTCCGTGCCTCAGTTTCGTCATCTGTGGAATAGGTATAATATTGTATGGCTTAAATAAGGCAGCATGTGAACAGTGGCAACCACAGTGCAAGGCATGTAAATAGGTGCTCAAGGGTAGGCATAGGGTAGTCCCACTGTCATCTCACAAGTCCTGCTTGATCAGCACCTCTGGGTGACAGCCTCTGAGGAGACTCAGTTGTTCCTGGGGCCTGTTGGGACCTGTGTTCCCATAAGAGAAGTCAAGGTAGGAGGCTCTAGGATGTTTTAAACATTTAATCTAAGCAGGAAGAATTTAGTGTTAGGGAGGGCAGTATGTATTTATCATAACTATTTTAATGCTATCGTCTCAATATCAATAATAATTTGTTCAGTCCCTCTGATTATCCTCAGACTGGTATAAGACACATTTCCTCATCTTCTCATAATTGCCTTTGTAAGAGCTAAATTACATTACATTTTAAAAATAACCTGATCCCAGACTATTGCTCCCTGCTGAGTTCAGTTTGCTACAGGCCTCCCGTGTCAGTCTGAGTTGGCATGGTATACCAGTTGCCAAATGGCATAATTGGCAGCAACGCACCTCACACACTTGGTGGTGGCATTGTTTAGGGTCCTGTGGCAGGGAGGGTTTCCAAGGGATAAATTCTAACCAGTGTCCCTCCCTACAGTTAGACACGCAGGCTTTGCAGGAATTCTGGATCTGCACTTGGTCACACCAATTAACCTCCGGGACCCTGTTTTCCCTTCTGGGAAAGGGGAAGGATTCTGAGATTCCCGAAGGCTATTGCGATGTATGCGAGGCGGACCCACTTGACTCCTGAGACAGCCATTCCTTGGTACGCGTCTGCTTCAGGGCTCGTCAGACCCTGTACTCGTCGCATTTCGACGAGAAAAAACAAATGCTTAATCACTTGTCGCTTGCTTGGTACTCGTTGGTTTCAGCACTTGCCACGAGTTTCAGAATGAATTAACAAGTTCAGAGAGGTCCCACTGTTCTTACACCCGCCATGACCCTTTAGAACTGTTTTTCAAGCTTCTTTGCTCAGGTAGCTCAGAAAGCATTTTAAAAATCTTGTCCATTTCAAGTGTGCATCTCAAATTTTCTGTGACAAACTTATTAGTTGGAAAGGCTATCATTTCTGGCAACACGCACACACATTTTAAAAATATAGGAGTACTTTCAGCAAACTTTCAGAACTACAGATCAAGCCCATCCAGCTTCCGGAACGTGCTGTTGTGCTGGGTGGTGGGCGTGAGCTCGGCCAGCCGGCCTTGGTTGGCTCCCCGTCGGGCCACTTACTAGCCTGTGTGGCTTTGGGCTACTTATTTTACCTCTGTGAGCTTCAGTTTCTTCATCTGAAAATGTTATGAATTATTTTTCAGCTAAGACAGGTGGGCATCTCCATGACAACCTCTGAATTTACTTCTACACCGGCCGGTGGTGAGCACACAGAGCAGACATCCAGAGGGGTCTCCACCCCGGGCCTGTCTCCCTCTCCTGCTGTCCAGCTGGACGGTCCGATTTCCCAGAAAACTGGAGGCGCGGGAGGGCTGCGGAGGGGGCGGAGGTAGGAGCAGGGGGTGCCGCAGACCAGGGGAAGGAGCGGAAGAGTGGGGGCGATGGGAGGGGAGGGGGGGCCGGAGAGGAGGGGCCAGGAGGAGCAAGGGGGCTGAGGAGGGGTGGACGGAGGGAGCGAAGGGCGAGCAGGTGGGGAGGCGGCGGCCAGGCGCGGAGAGAAGGGGTGGGGGTGGAGGAGAGAAGGGGCGGCGCTCGGGAGCCGCAGGTCCTTCGGCCACCGCGCAGCCCGGCTGTCGCCGTTGCCGCCGCCCCGGAGAGCCGACCTCGCGCCGGCGCCGGGAGCAGCCCCACCGGAGCCGCCACGGGATGCAGCCGCCCGCGCTGCCGGTGCCGGGGCCCTTGGCGCTGCTGGACACGATAGGTGAGGGCGGCCGGAGCACCTCGCAGGCTCCCCGCGGTCCCCATGCCCCGGAGCGCGGGTCCAGCCCTTCCCGCCTCCCTGGAGCTTTATCCCGGGACCCGTGCGCTGGCGCGGGCCCTGCCTCACTCATACTCTCGCTCCCCTTTTCTCCTCTTTTTTTCTGTCTCTCTGACTTTGTGCATCTCCCGTGTCTCTTGCTCGCTGTCTTTCATTGGGGTAGGTATGAATGGGCGACCCAAACTGCCCTGCTGTCCGTCTCCGCCCTGTTTCAGTCTCTAAAAATTCTAGAAGTTCTTTCAACAAGCCCGTTAGCTGCTTCTTGCTTGAAAGTGACAAAGGTGCTTTCAGCCTGTGTGTGTGTGTGTGTGTGTGTGTGTGTGTGTGTGTGTGTGTGTGTGTGTGTGTGTGTGTTGCTTCCCTTCCAGCGCGCCCTTCCACAGACTTCTCCCCCGGCAAATTCTCAGAATCTCTAATTCTTTGATTTCTGGAATCAAGACCCAGGCAGCCTGGAAGCCAGGCAACAGGCAGGAAAACAGGAAACCTGTTGCATGTTCACAAATTGGGGAGCTGGCCTAGGCTCTCAACTGGGAGGTGGCCCAGACGGGAATAATGCTGAGTGTGTCTTCCTGAAGGGGAGAGGGCAGAGAAGGTGTTGAAAAGATAAGAAAAACAAGGTTCCACAATAAGGGATGCCCTGAAGCTCGAGTGAAGGATCAGGTGATGCTGGGACGCTGCCCCTTGCTTCAGAAATGATCCCACTGAAAACTTCAGGTTTTCAGTCTCATAATCCTGTTTGCGCTCTTTGGAAAGCCTCTTTTTAAAAATCAGATTAGTAATATTGTTTGATTTTTAAGTAATAATCAGGGACTCTGGCTTCTTCCTCAAAGAGACAATTCTATACCCTTGCACCTTCTAAAGCTAAATGCTCTATGGCAAAACTTACTATATTTTTCACTATCCAAGGTTCGCAAAACTTACATGCATTTTCCTCCTCCAGGAAATGAATTGCTCATTAATGTTTAATAATAACAACTTTCTGTTATTAACTAGTTGTTATTGTATTATACTAGAACGACTTGATGGTTTAAAAATAGCATTTGACTTTGTTTTTTCTTGTGAGGAAGAATTATAAATTTAAAAAAACACTAGAAGTTGATCTTTTATGTAAAAACACTAAACGTTAGGGCAGCTTGGTGCGATTATGGGTATTTTCTACCTTACATTTGTGTTCACCACCTCGGGCACATGATATATTAAAATCAGAAAAAAAGGGAGATTGATGGCTGAGGGGCACATCATTATGCCTTGGTCCACTTTCCCAGGGACTGCCACCTTACCTGGGTGCCCTCACATGATTAAAAGGGCTCGTTCTTTCTGGAAGGCCCGGGCCCTGCTAGCCAGGAGGCCATGACTTTGAGTACCGCAGCTTTTGTGAGATCCCCCTTCCCTTCCTGGCTTAAGCGGAGAAAGTGCTGAACGGCAGAGACAGAATCTGCCACCACCTCCCACCTCCCTTGCACTTCTTCTAGACATGACTAGTTGTCACAGGAGCTGTGGTTTAGCAACTCCAGCCAAGGCTGCGGGTAGGGACAGGTAGGGGCTAGAGAACTGGAGAGGCTCGTGGGAAGTGACAATGTGATATTCTGAGATATTCTATATAGGATGCCGCGGGGGATAGACTGGAGTTTGGAAACGCAGTGAGCAAGACAGGTGAGATGTAGCTGTTGACCCGTTCCACTTCGCATGTCAGAACTGTTCCCCTCAGCTCCCTGTTGGAGAAACACTGGTTAAGAATAACTGCTATACCAACTTAACATTCACACCACCATGGTTAATATGTTTATTAACACCTTAATTAATATATTCATTACATTCATAAAAACACTTATAGAACTTTCATATACTGGATTTTGCCGTGCTTAATGTGTTCCTGTGTATAATACGCATCCATGTTTTTGGCCCAAAATTTTAAGAAAAAAAAAATCTTTCATTTAAATTTTTTAATTCCATTTTTTATTTATTTATATTTAGAAACAAAACCAATGATCGTATTCCAGGGTATTATTTTGCATATGGATATCATTATTGCTTTCTGGAGTTACACTTTTAACGCATAGGCATAAATAAAAGAATAAAAAGCATTTATATAGATACAGAATTAGCACTACCCCATGTATAATGCACATCCTTATTTTTCCCTCAAAAGTTGGGGCAAAAACAATGTGCATGATACATGGCAAAATATGGTATAATCTCCCACTGGTCCTTATAACCGTCTCAAGAGGTTGGTAAAGCAGATGGTTATTATTATCTTCACAAACCAGGAAGCCGAGGTTTATTCATCCATTCTACATAAGGACGTAAGCTATCTCCAGGACCCGGTGAGGAAGAAGACAGACATAGCCCCTGCTCTCACGGAGTCCTCTTTCTGCTGGGCTCAGAGAGGGTGAATGGCTGCCTACGGCCGCACAGCTGGCCTGAGCAGGTCCAGAACAGTTAGGGTGCAGTCCCTGTAAGCTGCCACCACGGTTATACACCTAATGGTAGATGTTTAGCTAGTAGGTGCTGTGTTAAGAGCACTTTAATTGTAAAAATATACATGATAATATTTGTCCTAATGGGATAGGAAAATCTAGGGAACAATTCAGGTAATTCTAGTTGTCTTCCTTTAATTCAAAATCCCCTTTCTCTCCAGCCTGCTCTAAAAATGCATGTCTTATGGTAATTAGAAGGACATTTTACTCGTTCTTACTTTTCTTGTTAATTTATTATTATTATTATTATTTGCAATATCCAATATTTGTAAAAAATAAGGTCAACTTTTTTCCTTTTGTTATCTTTTGTACCTGGAATCAAAGTATGACAATATGTGTCATTAGGATAAGATTGTTTAGGATCATTCCTTCCCAGCGTGCCATATGAATTATGCTGGCCATCTTTCTTGACCTTCTATTAACCTTGGAACTTATGGTAGAAATACTGACAAAAAGGGATGCCTTACACCTTCTGCTCTTTATCTTGTAGCAGTTTCAGAGGGGAAAAAAAAGTCAGACTTGGGAAACAGCGGTGAAGTGGTAAAGTTGTATTGAAAATAGTTCATATGAAGATTATCATGAGCTCAAAGATGTGTTCAACTTTTTACTCTGTGGTTAGCATATCAGAACGTCACTAACAAATTTGACGAGGGCTGACCAGATGCTGCTAGCCTAGTAGATCTGACCAGATCCTTGTTTATCTGGCCAGAGTCCTTGTGGGGATGAATCAAAATGGAGCCACAAGCTTGCAGAACCAGGATGTAGTCGAGGGTATTCTGCAGGCAGATACCAAAGGGAACCCAGAAATGAGGCCCACAGAAGGTTACAACTGTGGTTTGAAGCAGATGCTGAGGCATCTAGTTAATTATTTGGGGCATAATAAATGTGCAATGCACTTAATTAAGAAAAATAGCAAAACAAAGTCTTTTGAGGAGGAGGACATTCGATAATTTTTTCAAATACTTAATGCCATAAACTTTAGTTTAGGAGTCCTATTGCTTTTAAATCACATGTTAACAATCAAAACATTAAAATGGGAAATGAAGGGGGAAAATAGTCAAGGAAGAATAGCTGAAGAGGAAATTGCACTAATTAAAAGCAATTGGCATTTGGCTCTATTTGCAGATATTTGGAAGCAGGGAAGGGTAATAGAGAAAGTGGGAGAGATTAATCCTCTGATCCTGACAGAATGAGACGAAGAGAGTTGGACTGCTGGGAGAAAAGCTAATGTTGCCACCCAGATACTAGACCGTATTGTTATCATTAATATGATTATCTGAAGAACTTCCACAAGAACAATTACATTAACTTCCAAAATGTAGAAGATATGTTTTTGACTTTTGTGTCCTTTTTTTTTTCACTCTTCCTAAAATTAATTAATCAGAGCATAATTTCACCCGTGGGGAGGCATCTTTCTTTCATTTTTCTCTGTCTCACTCACCTGTTCTCAAAGTGGCTTTGCCATTTTAGTCCTCTGTTTCCCCACAGACACCCCGCATCTTTGGCCATCGTTCCTGGAACTACTGATTTATATCCGACTCCCAGGCAAACTACCTTGAACATATACCCTTGGCTTCAGGCTTTAAACAAAGGCAAGGAAAAAAAGTCATTGCTGTCTGCGTGCACACTTCTTTGTAAATAAGATGTTGTAAATATTAAACAAGGGAGAAGTCCCCCATAGGGAGCTCCCAGAGTGCATGCTAATGCTTTGTCCCGAAAAACAAAGAGTCGGCTTGCACTTGGGGCTATATTGTCCTATGAGACACTCTTACAAATGCTTCATCCTTAACAATTCTTCTATATTGGTAATAAAAATTACTAGAAAACAACAATGAAAACAGCAATTTAACAATCAGAGAAAGTTATATTTACTTCTCTTATTTGTACGTAATTCTGTGGAACTTCAGAGAACTCTTTCCAAAGCTTGTACAAGGACTGTAGGCTTATCTTCTGTTTTGTAAGGTTAAATTCTACTTCAGAATTTTTACTTTGTCCTTTAAAATATTTTGCTTTCTTTCCTTGAAATTTCCCTTGTAGAATTTATCCTGAAAAAAGTGATGAGAAGTGATAGGAGGATTTATATACAAACATGTTTTTCATATTGTGTTTTTTTAAGACTATTTTTTGGAGTAGTTTTAGGTTCACAGCAAAGTGAGAGAAAGATGCATAGCATTCCCATACACACCCCTGCGCCCCCATGTGCACAGCCTCCCCGATTATCAGCACCCCCACCAGAGTGGGACACTTGTTACAAACAATGAACCCCATCGACACGTCATTATCCGCCAGAGGCCACAGCGCACATCAGGGTCCACTCTTGGTGTTACACATTCTGTGGGTTTGGACAAATGTATAATGACATATATCTACCATTACTGATCTCAAAATCCCCCCACACTGTGTTTTAATTTAGAAAAAAAATAGAAACAACCCAAATATACAATAGGGATAGGTTAACTGACACATCCAATTATAAATAAGAATTACATTTGGAAAAGTATTTCAAAAGTTGGACAAATTCTTGCAGTTGATTAGATGAAAAAAACAGATTTTTAAAACGTTTTGGTCCCATTTTAAGAAAGACCATAAGCCTATATGCCCACTTGCTAATTTTGGGTGGCGAGGTTACTGTGAATTTTATTTTTTATTTTGTAGTTTCCAGTACTTTGTAACTGTTCTATAATACGTATTGCTTTTATGAGCAGCATAAAAGCTATACATTTTTAATATAAAACTAACAGTCTTTCCTTTCCTTGTAAAAATGTCGCCGTTACCTTGGTTATATTTTCCAGCCCCAATTAGGCTTGGTTTTTAGTTCACAATTACAATTAGAGGTGTGGGAAAGAGGAATTCCTGAGGTCACTGAAAAAGTAGGTGTGAGAAAGGAGACAGGAAGTGTGAGACTAGGAAAAGACAGGTGTCGCAAAAAGTCCAAGAATGTGGCGCTGGGGGGGCCTTCGGAATGCCTGCCGGGGCTGGCCAGCCTGCCGCAGCTCCTTCCGCCCATGCTCAGGGCAGACACAAGCAATCAATCAAGGCACCTCCCTGAGACCCATCTACAAAACCGCCACAGGTACAGGAAGTGACTTGCTTTTGCTCACACAGCAGGCAGGGCCTGTCCTCTTGATAAGAGTGCAACAGTGCCCTGGGCATCAGGCCACATCACACGGGTTAGCGGTTGGCCAGTGCCCTCAGGGCAGAGCACCCGGGGAGAAATGGTGGGTATGGGGGTGGCGAGTGTGACTAGACAGAAGGTATGGAATGGCAGTCACTCCAGAATATGTGCTGAGTTTAGAAACATTGGGAGATGCTGCAGAACCTGTGTCTGAGTGACGGGGCTGGTGGCGTGGTCATGGGCAGCCAGCATCATTTCCAGGCTCCTGTGCTGTCTACTCACGCGTCCACTCATGGGGCCACTCATGCATCCGCTTTGGCGTTCACTCTTGGGTCCACGCATTGCTTGTCCCTCGGTGCTCATTCAGCAAGAACCCGGCAGAAACCGCTGTGCTGGACCTGGGAGTGCACTGCCAGGGCATGTCTGAGAGGCTTCACTGAGAGATGTGACATGTGGCTGGCCCCAGGGGGCCACAAGCACAGCAACTTTGTTGTTGAAGTGTGTAGCCTTTTGAAATGAGGGCCGTGACAGGGCCTAGAAGACTTGCCTTACCCTGTGTTCCCATTGGTGTATCCCGTGCACCATTATCAGCGGGCCAGCCCTCCCCTCCACCCCGCCAGGGAAGGCTCTGCCCTTTACGGTGTGGCTGGGCTGCTTGGCTGGACCATCCTCATAGGCGTGAGCCTTCAGAGAAGGTTTTATACAGTCCATCCCTGTTTTTCTGTAGTTTACTCTCAACACAACAACCACAATACTGCAGGAATTAGAAAAAAGAAACCAGAGTACGTTCCTCCCTTCTCTGCTCAAGACCCTGCAACAGCCTGGCTCTCTCAGGGCAGAGCCGGCGTCAGATACAAGAGTCTGTCCCTTTGGATGCAGGAGATAAACCTGTGTTTTTAGAAAGCCACAGAGGGGAGCGAGTAACAGAAGGAACTATGGATCCTGATGGCTGGGATTTAAATCCCAAATATCCACATCTGAGTCTGGAGAGGCTGGGCCAGGGCTTGCAGAGCAGAGCCTTGCAGGTAACATTACGGACAGGGCCAGCGGGGAGCTCCCCCCGACTGCACCCTGCTATGCCGAGGTCCTGGGAGCTTCGGGCAGCACCCGGGCCCAGACCTTCAGGTGATGGGGAGCGGGCCGTTTATTATCCCAGTGACTGAATTGATCTCATCCCCTTCAGGGTGAAGGTAATAGGTGGTTTAGGATAGGATTCTTGGGAGAAGCACCTTCCCAGTGATCTGGAGGGAGTGGGCAGCGTTGAGTCTGAAAGGGGTGCTGGTGAAAGGGGAGGGAGTTCTCGCATGGGACTCGCTCCAGGCCCCTCAATGAAGTGTCTTCCCCGAGACATACACCCTGGCTAGGTCAGCGTGCTCAGTTGAGCCAAGTTCTTCTAAGTTTGCATATTGATTTATAGTTTTGTGCAATTTATTTCTGAGTATGTAACAATCCTATTCTTGGGTTTGCAACCTTGACTTGACATTAAGCTTTGCTGATAGACAGCAGAAGTATAAATCTTCGGAGGCAAATCTTTTGGAGCGTGAATGTGTCTGCATGCTTGCGATTCAGGTGGCCATCTGAGCGAGCGGTTGCAATCAGATATGAAGCTGTGTCCCCCATTAAACACACATGTACATGCACACACACATATGGTTGATGTAGACGACTTTGGCACAAAAAGAAAGATCATGTTTTTCCTTCATCCCCTATTTTGTTTTGGAGTCACTGGGATCAAGTTGTCTAAGCTTCGCCCGCCTGAGGTGGGCGCTGGCAGGGGAGAGAGCAGTGGGCACGAGTCCCTGGCTCCGGGACAGAGGTCTTCCAGAGCCCACAGGGCGCAGAGAGAAGAGCCACGCGGACACCAAGTGCACTCGTATTTGCTAGGACCCCACTCTGAGCCCTGCCCCTTACTAACAGCTTCCTCGTTTATCCTCCCCCAGAAGGGTTTACGAGAAGAAAGAAGACTTCCCTTTGGTTTGTGGGGTCTCTGCTGGTGGTATCTGTCTTCATCCTGACCATCGGCCTCGCTGCCACCACCAGGACGGAGAATGTGACCGTGGGGGGCTACTACCCAGGGATCATTGTGAGTGACGGGGTCCTGGTGTTGAAGGGGGGTGCACCAGGTGCCACAGATTTCCATGTAGTGGTGACACACTTTGTTCCAGCTCCACGGAGCGGAAGGGTTAGGTCATGGGAACTAGTTTTGGTGGTTGTGGTCGGCAGAATAATGAGTCCAAAGGCATTGGTGTCCTGCTCCCTGGGACCTGGGGATGTAGAGGGCCACACAACAACGGGGGTTGAGGGTGTAGACAATGATCCTGCCTTATCTGGGTGGCCCAATCTTAGCACAGAGTCCTTAAAAGTGGTGGAGGGTGCAGGAGAGCCCCCCTCAGATTCACGTGACAGAAGATGTTGATGATGGACAAAGGGCCATGAGCCAAGGAATGCGACAACCCTAGGCACAGGGAAGACCTGGCACAGAGTCTCCCCCAGAGCCTCTAAAGGGAGCCAGCCCTGTGACACCTGGATTTTAGTCCCGAGAGACCAAGCTGACCAAACTAATCCTCAGAAAGTGGACATGTAGCTTTAAAGGACACCTGCCAAGGAGTCTTGAGCGATGACTACATTAATAGTGTAATCATATGGGAAAAACAGGAAAATGACAGCTAATCAGATCTGGCAAGAAGCGGTCACCTAAATTCAGAATTAGCTGGAAGATTTTGTGACTATGAATTCATATCCATTGTTGTTGGCAATAAAACTTGTCCCAAGTGTTCAACTTGTGCACAGGAAGTGTCTGTGAAATTGCCTTTCATCACTATGTCGTGCTTAAAATGCACCAGAACCTTGAGATGCTGTGTCATAAAGTGCTAAACCAAGATTTTTTTAAAAATTAAGATCATTAAATACATTACTCTCATTAAAATTATTATCAAGATTAGTAATAATATTGATAAAATTTTTAGCAAGGATGAAAGGGTATTGGCACTCTTAGTATTTAAAAATATTTATCAATATCATTTAATTCATCTTTATATTATCTTTTATTTGTATTTTTTAATGTATGCTTTATAAAGTGACATTACCTGTATATAAGTTATGAGTAAACATATATAAGTAGTGTCTGCAGCAGAAGTTTTATCAGTGAAGGTCCCATGAAGCCGATGTCATGGAGAACTTGCTTCTCTGCCCTGTTTCCTGGACAAAAAGAGGAGCCCAGAATACAGGGGCTAATGGCCGGGAGGATGCATCCTTTCAAATTACGTGCAGTTTCAAGATCCGTCTTGAGTAGTAGGGTTGTTTTTTTTTCCTTTTTTCTTTTTTTGCTTGTTCTTTAAGCTTATCGTAGGCCCAATAATAACACCTATAATAACAGCCTGGATGTTGTCCGAGTCGTGCTCTGTAAAGGACCTGATTCCTGGGCAATGTCAAGATTGAAGTTAGGTTCAGTCTGGACAGATCTGAACAAAAACTAATGGAGATGACAGATGAAACTCACTCTAAAGAAATGTGGATGAAAGTCGCTTCCGTGGAGATCCTTGGTCGAACTCCGAGACTTAGAGCAAAGAGAGGATCTCAGCAAGAAACTGGGGCTGGGTGGTGAAAATGCCTCAATATTTTGGAAAGAGGATTTTTTTAATCCTAAAAAATGGAACTTAGTGAAACTTAATATATTTTAATACATTTATGTCAGAATGGAATTTTGATATTTCTGAACTGTGGAATGAGACTGATATTTTGAAGTTGCACATGAAGAAAACGTTCCTCTCTCCTTACTCATTGAGCATTCTTAAATTATTGATAAAGACGACATCTGCTCATACATGGCCATCTCCATAGATATAATTACAGATAAAGAGATCTGTAGACATAAATATGTCCAATTTTTAGTGCATTAAATTTGACAGCATGGCCTTAGAGACTCCACACCTGTGCTGGTCAGCTGGTTAGCTGTCCCCAGCCTGGCCCCAAAGGTCACACTCAGAAGCTCAGGGCTCGCCTGCTGCGTGAGTGTGGCTATAACGCATTGTCCCAGGGCAGCAGCCCCACATTGTTTGTGAGAGGCTTGTCACCATCTGCTCTGAGCCGGGTCCCCTGGGGGCAGCGCTGAAACTCCAAGTTCTTTAAGCTGAGGGGGATGGAGAAATTCTTCCACCGGGTGGGCAGGGGGGATGAGGCGCACCTTTGTCTCTTGGACATGCTCAGGTGGAGGGATCCTGGTCCCCAGTCCTCAGATCCTCCCTTTTGAGAGGAGGGTAGCCATGTGTGTGTTTCATGTGTGTTTCTCCAACATCCCAACCTCCCTTCCTCCCCCGTCCTGGGTCCCAGAGCTCAGGCTTTGTCCAGGAACAAGAGGACTGATTCTTAGGAGCTCCTAGGCACCCTCCCTCCCCCCGCTCCTTTTCTTCCCCAAGGTTACTTGTCTGCCTGCTCACAGGAGTCAGAAGCTCACCTCTGGGTGGTGTCAGTGTGTCCATGGTGCCTGGTAACTCTTCTTCTGAAACACCATGGTTCTAGTTTCCTAAATCTTACCCGAGGAGTCCTTTTCAGACAATAGGACTTGAGACCAGCCCCGGGGAAACATCAGGTGGGCTTCTCACCTGACGACCACATGCAGAAGATGCGCCGTGAGTTGTCTGGGCTGCTAAGAAGAGGTTGTCCTATGTAAGGGCAAAGGGGGCACACAGTGCTCTCTCTTCATCTGAGAGTTAAACTGACCCAAGAGTTAAAATGTTTGAACATAGAAGATGAGATGGATCATGTCTTAGCAGTTTCTATTCTAGTCACTGGCTTCTCTTGAGCCTGAGAAGCCCACCCAAACATGCATGGACCCATCTGCCACTTAGTGGTGGGAGCTTGAGAGGTGGGAGCCGGCCTTGGCCCTTTGATAAAATGTTTTCAGGGCAGCAGTTTCCTGTGCATTGTTTGCTGTTAAAAGTCAGCATCGAGGCATGCTAACCAGGTGCTTTCTCCTTGTTTTTCCTTTGCTCTCAGCTGGGCTTCGGATCTTTCTTAGGAATTATTGGCATCAACCTAGTGGAGAATCGGAGGCAAATGGTAAGAAAGTACTTTGTTACTTTCAAATGGCAGTATTTCATCCCTTTTTTAAATGGCTAAGTAGTATGGAATTGTTTTCTTAACTTACTTTTTTGGGTTTTTTATTGCAAGTATATAAAAGTGCAATTGGTTTTTCTATTTAGTTTCGTATCTTGCAATCCTATTGAATTCATTGATTAGTTCTCTCTCTCTCTTTCTCTCTCTCTCTCTCTCTCTCTCTCTCAGATTCCTTAGAATTTTCCATCTATAAGATTAGGTCACCTGCAAATAAAGATAGTTTTGCTTCTTGCTTCTTTTTTTCCAATGTGGACTCTGGAAGTCCATTTCTATGGCTTTAGTAAAAGAAATGTAGGCTTAGAATGGAAGGATGAAAATCCAGAATTGACAGCAGCTGCCAAAACAGTGTGGCCTCCAGCTCCCCGCGTGGCCTCCCTGTGTACCAGGCAAGTTAGGGCCGCCCCGGCCCCTCAGACCAGAGGCTTCCGACTGGCATTGCTTGCCATGCCTGCACAGTCTCAGTTCTGCCTTTTCAGGGAGAGCATTCTTCCAAGGCTAACTTTGTATGATAAACATATATTTCACTATCTAACATTAAATTTAATGTTTATAAAAGCCGAAACCTGTGTCCATCATTTATAGTGGTGTGATCTTGGGAAACTTACTTGACAGATTTGAACCTCAGTTTCCTCATTTCCAGGGTTGCTGGGAGCGTGTGAGTTAATGCATGTGAGAATATCTAGCACATACCGGCCGGTGCCAGGTGTCCAGAGAACGGTAGCCATTGTTGAATACTGTATTTAAGCACATAGGTTAGTCAGAGCATTTAAGTTGTTTCAAAAGAAGATAATAGCAGGCTGAGAAAACGTCAGCTGAAGAGAGAATGTGCGTGTATTTCAAATGCTTCTAAATATAAAGAATGCTTTTGTTTTTCTTGATTTCTTTTTATTTTAATTATTTACTACAGAAAAACTTAAACACATCCCAAAGTAGATAGACTAGTATAATGAACCCTTCTGTACCCACCTCTCAACTTCATCAGCTGTTGACTCAGGGCCAGTCTTGTTTCATCTCCCACCCACTTCTTTCCTTCTCATATTATTTTGAAACTAATTCCAGACATGGTATCATTTCGCCTATAATGATATCATTACATGGTATCATTTCACTCTGTTCAATCTAATCATTAGGAGTGGCTTCCCCATTATCTCTGCCCATTATTATGTTAGTCTCCAGGGATATCTAAAGAATGCGCCAAATTGAGTCAGCTTTTGATGTTTTTCCATTGATGAGTGAGATTACTTTCTAAGTCACTGAAACAGACATATGAATCATTGATTTCACAATAGCCCTAACATGGTCCCAAAGGCCAGGGATGGAGAAGTTAAAGGCCAAAAATTTGTTAGCTGCTGATTTCCCCCACCATATGTGTGTGTGTACACATGTGTGCACACACACAGAGGATTCTTCTCCAAATATAGTTTAAATGCCACTGAACTAGAAGAAGCAATAAGGACTAATAAGTAACTTATAGATTAAAAACACTTCCTGCAAAGAGTTAGGGTCTCAGTTTTTGTCTGTCAGGTCTAGAGATACCATTTTTTCCTATTCCTTTGGGTGTTGTGTGAGCGAGGGCTCCTGGTTGCCTTTCTCTCCACTCCACTGCCTAACGCCTTCAGCTTTCGATCTGTAGGGGGCCAGCTGAAGGGCAAAGGATCCTGAGGGACACCTTCCCCTGAAGATGCTGCCACCTACACCTTCCAGAAGTTTGGTTAATGTTGGGAGAAGAATAGGGGGTTGGGATGACGGGGTGAAGAGAGAGGCCACTAGAATTGCCCACCTTCCCTGCCCCCTGGCCACCTGCGGTGTATGACAGACACAAGGTCTGGTTATAAGAAAACAGGTCAAGCTCCAGTATGCAAGCACCTGAGTGCTGAGGCTTTCGAGAATGTGTACTTGCTACTTAAGAGGCTGGCTCAGGACTCTGATTACATATGAACTATTCCTTTGGGTGGCCCCTGCCTTCTTGTAGTTCCACCAGGGACCACCAGGGGAGGCGCGGTTGGATCCCTGCTCTGCGACTCGCTGGTGCGTGAGTCGAATGGGCTCTCTGAACTCTGAGGACTGGCCTCCATTCCACCACACCGCCTTTGCACCTGCACCCTGGTCCTTCTGTTTCTTCTTGTTTGAAGCATCTGGCCACAGGGGCCGTGGGCCAGTCTTTCCAAGCATGCAACGCTGGCTGTGCAAGTCAGAACATGTTTCACTGCACTAACCTGGAGCTCCCACACCGCAGGCGGAGTGTGTGCCGGGATGTGGCTCTCTGGCCAGCTGCTCGGGGGCAGCCTGTTCTTTCATTGGTTTCCCTGTTGCCTACCAGTTCTGAAGAGATGTTGTCCTGCCGTCCAGCTCCAAAGCTGCATTGGTGGGTGGGCGGGTGTGAGAGCAAACATCTCATGATACAGTGATTCAGTCTATCATATACACATGGGGAAAATGTATGGAGGACTAGACACTCTGGATCTCCGTTTTTGCAGCTACATGCTCACAAAAGTGCTTGGTCTGAAACAAACACCCAGAGCTTTTATTTTTATTGCTATGTAAGCCATGTCCCTGAGAGGCCTGTTTGGAAAAACTAATCAATTTTCTGGATGGATCCAAATACCTCCCTGTTTGGAAAGGGCCCTGGGAACTTGCTGGTGAAAAGCTGGGTCTGTGTTTGCTGCCACTCCACTGAGAATAACTTGCAACTAGAGCCTCATGTCTGTTAGAAGACACAGGTATGCACATGGACATCTGTTGAGGGAAAATGAAATTATTGGTTCTACCCCAAAGCTATTTTAACCTTCCCCCCACCAAATAATCATCAATAACCATCAAGGAAGGTGGTTCTGTCAACATAGCAGGTACTCTGTCTCTCTTGCTTGGCGGGCGTGTCCGGCTGCTGTAACTTGCTGAGGCTTCGCGACCCACAGGGTGGCAGGCCCGGGCTCAGTCGGCTGGGAACCGGAGGAGCGCGAGCTTCAGGAGGTGGAGAGGTACCGGCTCCTTCCGGGGCCCTCAGCCTGAGGCAGGGCCTCCTGCCCCCGCGGTCCAGGCCGCGCCCCCTTGGCGTAGGGCATCCAGCCCCACATTCACACCTGCACCTGCGAATGTTCCTTCAGGTAAGGATTGTTCCTTACCCTTATCAGAGATGCAGGGGCAAGTGTTCTTCTCCTTTGGGACTACGGGTCCCTTCACCAGCAACATATTTCATCACCCATTGAGCACCCATGCTCAAGGGCCCTTTTTCTAGATGTTAGATTTCTGGGACAATGAACAAAGAGAAGAGAGCTGGGTGCTCCGTGATTTAGTCCGAGACCCTTCCACCACCCACCTTGCTTCCAGGCACGGCTTCTCCTGTGATTCTCTTCTCCGGTGCCTAGAAATGACAGGAAAAAAGCCATCAGGTTCCAGAAAATAAGGAGGCAAATGGAGGCGCCAGGTGCCCCGCCCAGGACTCTGAGGAGGTCTGGTATATACACAAGCAATTTGCAGAGTCTTGGTCAGTTCCCAGATTGGCTTTGATGTTAGCACGATGTGACCAGAGGGGCTTTAAAAAGCAAGTCCGTACCCACACTGGAGCAGAAACTGAGGCAGGATCAAAAAGTCCTTAAGAAGCCTGGGCTTGGCCACTCACTCCTCCAGCTTCCAGGCTCTGGGGATACCTGGGAGCTGCTTTTCTGCAGGGCACTCTGTGTCAGGAGGTGAAGCCTCTTCCCAAGGCCAGGGTCACAGCACAGCTTTGAAGGTGACAGAACCAAATACAGCACAAACACACCAAGGAGCCAGAAAGGAAGGAATAAAGGAATCCACAGCCTGTGGAAGGAGAGCTTTGTGTCTGTCGCTGCAGCCCACAGTCATCAGGGGGAGCTGCAGAAGTTTTCCACCACCGACTGTGAGGCACCAGAGGAACGGAGAGTCATGGGTTGCCAGGTGCGGGTGAGCTGGAAGAGTTGGAGGCAGGAGGACGAGGTGGCCAGAGCTTCAGCAGCAAAGGAGTGCAGTAGGGGCGAGGGTTCTTTGACGGCAATGGGAACTTCCTGTATGGAATTTAAACTGGAACCTGGCTTGTGGAGATGCTACGTGAAACACAGCTGGGCGAGTATATTTGAGCTGTCTGGGTTTCTGTGTATAGATTATCCACCTTGGAATAAGAGGAAGTGATGAGCCTGGAAACGGAGGGAAGAGCTGCTTGGATTTCAGCCTGACAAGGGGCGGTGAACGTCACAGGGCAGATGTATATGTGGGCAGCATGAATGACTGCCAGCTACAGTCCAGCTCCCAGGAGCATGGCTCCTGGTCTGACTCATGTGGATATTCAATACTCACCCTTCTTGCTGAGGTTCTCTGTGTGTCAAAACCAGCCTGTGTTGCATTGTTAGGAGTTTCTGTTGTACTTGCTGGGAGAAATGGAAAAGTTTGCCTTCTGACTTTGTTTCCTTCTGATTAATGAACACTAACAGTTCTGGAACTGTTTAGTCAATTGGTTATTTTCATCATGTGCAAAATAAAGTGAAATGTAGCCATCAGAAAAACAAACATCAATATTGCTTAAAGGGCACTTGTTACTTCTCAAGCATTTCTCGTGCACAGATTGTCACCCATCCATTTCTTTCTTCAACATTTCCCAAGCTTATTCCACATGCGAGGTGTCATGTTAGGCACCAGGTGGGGAGGTTCTGACCTCCTGGAGCTCAGGCTTGTGCACAGAACACCAGAGGGCACCATGGAAGCGGGGTGAGGGAGGTCAGAGACTAGGCAGTTGTTGAAAAGGGCCAAGAAGCGTCCATTCCAAGGCTCGGAGAAGGTGGAGCTCCTGGTGGATAAAGGCTGAAATGAGACCAGGAGAACTAATGGCACCATGGCCCTGTCGGAAGGTCGATGTGGAGTTAACTTTGTGTCTGAACTATTCTCTCAAGCCCTTTCATTGTGTGGGTAATGTGCCGCTGGCATTCTTCTTC